TACATGGAAAATTTTGACGCTTGGAGCGACCTCTAAATATTTTTTGATTTCAAATTTGAAAAATTTATTTTTTCAGTATAGAACAATCCTAGGGGGTGAGGGTATTAAAATTCCTACTTTACTTTTTTTTTTACCACCCTAATGTACATGTCTTTATAATATTTTTAAATATTTTTTCGTCATATTTTACAGTCAGTTTTATATACAAAATAAGTTTGTTCGCGAAACTCTTAGCAGCAATTTTCGGATCGCCATTGCAACTTGCCGACGTGAGCTACGAATGTCGACACGTTTCAATGATGAAAATTGTTGCTAATGGGTTACAGAATGTTATGCATAAATGATTTTCCAAACTGTTTTAAATTCGCTAACTCTTTGATGTTCGCATATGACGTTTAACTTTTTTCTGTTGTTCGTAATCTTTCATTTTGTTATAATCTTCAGCTGGATCGGAATGCATTTGCATTAATAAAAATTAATGCGGGAAAGTCTAGTAATATCATCGTCCTTAACTATAATAGAGACAATTGTATGATATCACGTAGCTCCGAAAATAAAGACTTACTTGGGCTACCGTTTGCAAAGCACGTCAAAATTATTTTGGATGATTGGCTGTATAATAAACAAATTTAATAATAAATAATTTTTGCGGTGGACAACATATTTACCGGTCCTTAATTTCACAGAAAACATTGTTCGCTTATTTTGCAAATATTAAGATGTATGAAATTCAATTTTTTTTGTTGCTCGAATCGAAGAAAAATTTTCTTTCAATTTTGTAAATTATTTAAATACAAAAAATGATTTTAGAGGATTAGGTATGGTAGCATGAAATGTCACAATCTGTTTAATTGCCATGTAGTTAATATTGCGCCCGAAAAGTGACAATGAATCTACCTTCTTTTTAAACTATTATTCAAAAAACAAATAATTAACAAAATTTTATAATTAAATCCATAGTTATACAAAAATTTATATTTCTTGCTTCTGTCTGCTTATTTGCATAATGAAAAACAAACTTATAGGGCCCCTAAACCACGCAAAATCCTTGCGCAACCCGAGACTTGTATAAGTCAATATTGTGGAAATTACTACAGCATAAAATTGTGCAAACCTTATTTTGAAGAAACGTTGCTGAAGTAAATATGTGCAAGAAATATGAATGTGTGTTGTATATTTGATAGCTTCAGCTTTAAAACCTAAAAAAAAAATAAATAAAAAATAATAATTTTTTTCTACGCTTTTATCCATACTTTGCAGCACGATCTGGACACCAAAATAAAAACTAGACTAAAAATTTCGGAGTTGTCGCCATACGCAGCACAAATTATTGTACAATAACACAAGCATGAGCAAAATATCAAAATAATTTTTATTTTAGCGCAATAACTGTGCAATTTAGTACAAACGACCCCATACACCACACAAACGACCGACGCAAGCGCAAGTGGTTTAGGGGCTCTATAACAGCGGCGTGAGCAAAGAAATTTCGGGTTTTGTTTTCCTTATAAGAGTTACCAAATTAAACTTATACTTTAAATAACAAGAAAAAAATATTTACCGTTAGACTAGTAATACTATTAATAGTTTTCAAAAATTCATTTCTCCCAGTCGAAAGTATCAAAATACGGCATTCGGGAACAAAAAAGTATCAGATTTACATTTTAGAAAAAAAAGTATTAAAAATTATACAATTGTATCAAAATGGCAACGTTGATCGTGATGGAAACCGAAGTTAGTTAACATCTTGTCGTCATAGCGACGATCAGAATGTCCAGATTTGGCGATTTCGCGCCAATTTGGCGATTTTTTTTTTATATTTGCGCGTAAAAATTTAGGAAATCGGCGATTTTTTCCCTTCAAAAAATTTTTTTCCAATTATAAAAATATACAAAACTTAGTTTTCCGCGATAATTTTACAGAAGAGGCTAATGAGCTGCGTGATAAACTTGACTTAGAAGCATATTAAAAGACTGTCAAAACTGTTTAATAACCCTAATCGAAGATCTTTTGATATGATTACCTAGTCAATTAAATACTTTGAAAAAAGCTTTGATTTTGTCACCGGAAGAGTGTGTGAATCACAAGAGGGCGAGTTTTAGGGACCTGCCAATTCACTGCTTGACTTTGAAGGAAAGAAAAGCAGCGGAAACTGAATATTTAAATCTTTTAACTTTCCCTTGGAATAACTTTTCTCAGAACCATTCCATCCGACTCTGAGGAGTTTTGGATACTTGCTTACGGAGTGAAAAACGCAAGAGGCAATAAAAGGTTTGGAAATATAAGTAAATTCATATTATTATCCTTGCCGCACTCACATGCTTTGTTGAGCGCGTTTTTCAGTAATGAATTCAACAAAAACTAAGATTCGAAATAGGATGAGGTTGGAAAGCCTTAATTCAATAGTTCGAATAATGTGTTATATGAAGGCTAACAGTTTCTGCCGCAAAACGTTTCCGATATCAAACAGTATGCTATCAAATTTGAATAGCTCAATATATGACACCAACAGAAATGTAAATCATTCAGACACTATAGCGGACATATTTGATTTGGTGATTTTTAAGAAATTGTGGAAATAGCTGATCTCGCCTTTTTATAGGTTTTTATTTAATTTTTAGCGCCAAGCGATTAATGAATTAATACCAGTTATAATAAATTTAATAATTGCGCAGTCCTATTGCAAAATGTGTTGAAACACTATACTATTATATAAGTGATTTGTGTTATTTATTATTACCCTCTGAAGGTATTATATTCGTTTTCGGGTTTGAAAACTATATTATAACAATCATTTTTAAAATAAAAGATTTGTTAAATCGATTTCATGAGTTTTATTTAAACTAAAATTGGCGATTTTTGGCGATTTTTTTCAGAAATTGCGCTTTTTTTAACAATCTGGACACCCTGGCGACGATGGAATTAACAGCGTCAGCCAAGTGAAAATACTGCTAAAGTAAGAGAGGCGCGCCGCTTGTGATACCCTTACTTGCCTCACCGCTCGTGCCATAAATTCAAATTGGTTGGATAGTCGACATGCGTCTTCTGTATACTGTTTATTCCAGGGACCGAAAATAATCGTTATCATGAAGGATTTTTTATTTAAAACTTATTGTATAATCGTTATTTTGTGATTTATATTTTTTCAATCAAAAATTATCGTTATTCTTTGATTTTTATTTTTTCGATAATTTTTCATCGTTATTTCGTGATTTTTATTTTTTCGATCATTTTTAATCGTTATACTATGATTTTTTTTTCGTTCGTTTTTAATCGTTACTTTATGAATTTTATTTTTTCGATCATTTTTAATCGTTATTTTATGATTTTTATTTTTTCGATCATTTTTAATCGTTATAATATGATTTTAATTTTTTCGATCAAAAATAGAAGTTATTCTTGGTTTTTTAATGTGTAAACTGAATGTGCACAGATTTAACTTAAAAAACAGTTTTACAAGGCATGCTTATGTACACAGTAAAGTCGGAATTGTAATGCTCTCACCCCCTATGATTGTTCTATATCGAAAAAAGTATACCCCTATTTTTATACCTTTCATGAACATGAAATGGTATTATAACGTTGGTCCGATGTTTGTAAGTACCACAATTAGAAGAGAAACCACTATAACATATAGCTCCCATACAACTGATTGTTCAGATATGAGATTTTTCGCTATAACTCCTCCATTTAAGCAGTTAGGAACATGAAATTTTGCAATCCTTCCACCCAATATCAACAGAATACTTACAGTGAAAATTACAAAGATCGGTCACTATAATCTATAGCTCCCATACAACTGATTGTTCTGATAAAAGATTTTTCGTTATAACTCCTCCATTTATGTAGATAGGAACATAAAATTCTGCACTGTTTTCACTCATTATTAAAATAATACTTACAGTGAAAATGGCGAAGATCGGGTGGCTATAACATTTAGCCTCCATATAACTGATTGTTCAGATATGAGATTTTTTTTTATAACTTCTCCATTTATGCAGCTAGGAATATGAAATTTCGCACTCTTTTCACTCAATATTAACAGAATACTTACAGTGAAAATAGCAAAGATCGGGTCACTATAACATATATCTCCAATACAACTGATTGTTCAGTTATGAGAATTTTCGTTATAACTCCTCCATTTATGTAGATAGGCACATGAAATTTCGCAATATTTCCATCCAGTATCAAAAGAATAATTACAATAAAAATGGCGAAGATCGGGTCGCTATAACCTATAACCTACATATAACTTATTGTTTAGATATGAGATTTCTTTTTATAACTTCTCCCTTCATGCAGCTAGAAACATGAAATTTCGCAATATTTTCACTCATTGTCAACAGAAAGTTTACAGTGAAATGAACAAATATCGGGTCACTATAACCTTTTTATTACCCCCATAAACTGATTGTTCAGATATGGGGTTTTACTGTGAAACTCCTTTATATGGAAAGCTAAAACCGATGAATTTACACAGTCTACTGAGAAAATCTATGCTGTATAAGCTTTATCTCCTATACCACTGATTGTTCAGATACCAGATTTTGCGATATTCTCATTGGCGACGTGTCTGTCAACCAAACGTGTGCAAATTAATGTAGTGTACATACATACATAATTAAACTTATTTGCAAAACAAAAAAAAAAATTGGTTAAGTGCATTAAATTCGTAAATACGAATGATTAAATGCACATATTAAATTCGTAAATACGAAATAAATACATACATATGTGCCAAAAGAAACATTTAATGGTGTAAATTGAAAGTAAAAGACTACGTTTGAGTCTTAATAAAAATTTGTTTAAAACACAAAAGCAAATACGCAAAACTATTAAAAACCAAAGTTAAAGGTATTTTTAAATAAATAATAAAATACAAATAAGTGTAACTACACGAAAAAACTATTGTATCATACCAAAGTAAAGGTACTTTAAATAAGCAACAAAATACAAGTAACAGTGAAGCAATTTTGCTATTGTAATTGAAGGTCAAAATGACACCACCAATTGAGAATAATGCCGTTACCGTTTACCAAGCCACAAACGTACAACAATTTTCGCCGCAAAATGAGGCATGGCAATTATGGAAAGAGAAACTTGAGATCCACTTTTGCGAAATTAATTGCTCAGATGACAATATAAAAAAAGCCATCTTGCTAAAATCCATTGGCGCTGCACCGTATGCAGTATTGCATAGTTTGTGTAGTCCAGAATCTCCGGTGAGCAAAACATTTAAAGCATTATGTGAAATGCTACACACATACTACACTCCACCTATGATAATTTTTCGCGAGAGAAAGCTATTTTATAGTGCAAAGAAGGAAGACAGTGAAACCGTCTCTGAATGGTATGCAAGAACAAAAAAGCTTGCTCTCAACTGCAAATTTGGCACGAATCTTGAGGCTTTCCTACTTGATCGTTTTATAATGGGTTTACCTGACAAAATATTTGAGAAATTATGCGAAGAAGATGAAAAGCTCAAGCTAGATGAAGCTCTCCGCAAAGCTTTAATCATGGAAATGAAACTCTCTAATAAATCAGAAGACAACACTAGCGTAAATTACATCAACAAGTCCAAAGCAGGCAACAAGAAAATGCAAAATTCGAAGTCATCAAGCAACAATAGCAAGAGCCACAAGAACAACAACAGCAATAAGAATAAGCAGCAGAATAAAGGCAATACATGCAAACATTGCGGCTGGCGCAATCACCAGTCAAATGAATGCAGATATAAAGAAAGCAGATGCAATATTTGCAAGAAAGTTGGTCACTTGGCGAGTACATGCAGAGATAAAAATAAAAGTGTAAATTATGTATCAGATAATATCAATCAGAATAACAACAATGAAAATTCTAATAATCAAAACTTTTGTATTTACAGCATTTCAAGTGGAAATTCAGCGGCTTATTATTATCTCTCAGTAAAATTGGATGGCCGACAAATGAAAGTAGCTTGCGACTCTGGTTCACCCTGCAGCTTAATATCAATAACGTTATTTGAAAAATTAAACAAAAATGTAAGTCTAACTAAGTGCTCATTACCTTATGTCGATTATAGCGGAAATGCAATACAAGTCATGGGTGAATATTTAGCAACTATTGAATATAATGGTACCATAAGAAAATTGAATGTCGTAGTTACGGACACAAACAATATGCCCTTGCTTGGTTGTGATTTTTTAAGATTATTTAATTTTGATTTAGTGCAAACCGTGAAAGCTATTGATTTAAAGTGTAATATTGAGGATATTACAAGTAGTTTAAAACGCGATTATAGCGAAGTTTTTAAAAATGAGCTTGGTACATACAAACTAGGTAAGGTCTCCTTACAAATTTCTAAACAATCAAACCCTATATTTTTTAAACCGAGATCGGTTCCTTTAGCTTGGAAGAAAAAAGTCGAAATCAACTTACGAGAATTAATAAATATGGATGTTTTAGAGCCGGTAGATAATGCGGATTGGGGAACACCTTTGGTACCAATACTTAAACCCAATGGTGATTTACGAATTTGTGGGGATTATAAAGTTACCATCAACAAACACCTCATTGATTTTCATTATCCTTTACCGCTGATAGAGGACATTTTCGCATCTTTACAAGGGGGTCAATTGTTCACAAAACTTGATCTTTCCAATGCTTACAGCCAACTTGTATTAGACGAGGACTCGCAACGATTGTGTACCTGGTCTACTCACATAGGTTGTTTTAAAATGAAACGTTTGCCGTTCGGGGTTAAGCCGGCAGCAGCAATTTTCCAGAAAACTATGGAAAATTTGTTGCGAAATGTACCCTTTGTAGTAGTATATCAAGACGACATCACAGTTTCAGGCAAAGACTTAGCCGAACACGTTCGAAATTTAAGATCAGTCTTGTGTAAACTGCAAAGTGCAGGTTTACGTTTAAATGTTTCGAAATGCGAATTTTTTAAAGCACAAGTGTCCTATCTTGGATTCAAAATTGATAAAGATGGTTTGAGTAAGACAACAGAAAGAATTTCGTCTGTTTTGCAGGCACCTATACCCAAAAATGTTTCTGAGTTACGAGCATTTGTTGGGCACGTAAATTATTACTCAAAATTTGTACAAAATTTTGCCGAAAAGATGGCACCTTTGTACAAGCTCTTACAAAAAGATGAAAAGTTTAATTGGTCTCGTGAATGTCAAGACACATACGAAAATATTAAGAGGGATATCACTTCTGATTCAGTTCTCGTTCATTTTAACCCTGAAATCCCTATAGTCCTTACGACGGATGCATCTAACAATGCAGTCGCGGGAATTTTGTCTCATAAATTTCAAGACGGAAGCGTAAAGCCTATTGCATATGTATCAAGAGCCCTGTCAAAAAGTGAAAAGAACTATAGCACATTAGAAAAAGAGGCTCTTGCTATAATCTTTTCAATAACCAAACTAAAACAATATTTAGTTGGACATAATTTCGTGTTGCGCACGGACCATAAGCCACTTTTATCAATATTTGGGGAAAACAAGGGACTTCCTTTGATGGCTGCAGCAAGAATGCAACGATGGGCATTCATATTATCTGGTTTCAATTATAAAATTGAATATATAAAAGGATCATTAAATGAAGCTGATAATTTGTCACGACTTCCACAGCATGACTTTGAACAAAATTATGAAGAAAAATCATACATATGCCATATCAAAGCGGAAAACGCTCTTAGCATTAATTTCAAAGATATAGTGCGTGAAACACGTAGAGATCCGATTTTATCAAAAGTATGTACTGCTGTGACAATGGGGACAATGCAAAACCTGAAAGGCAGTGAGTTTGCTCCATTTGTTAACAAAAGCACTGAGCTAACTGTAGACCAAGAGTGTTTGCTATGGGGTTACAGAGCAGTAGTACCATCTAAATTGCGAAAGTACTTACTGGAGCAGCTACATGACTCACATTTAGGGGTCGTAAAAACAAAAGCCCTGGCAAGATCATATGTATGGTGGCCAAAAATTGATAATGACATAGAAAATTTAATTAGGCAATGCATTTCATGTCAGGAGCTTTTTCCGAGTCCTAACAAAAGTGTATTAATTCCATGGGAGCCGGCTGACTCAGTTTGGAGTAGAATACACATAGATTTCGCGGGGCCTATAAAAGGTTTTCAGTTGTTAGTACTCATAGATGCTTATTCGAAATGGGTTGAAGTTTTTAAAACTAAAGACATGACTTCTAACTTTGTTATATCAAAACTTCGCGAAACGTTCTGCCGCTTCGGCATTGTCAACACAATTGTTAGTGACAACGGTCGTTATTTTGTATCTGAGGAAATCAAAATTTTTTTAAAATTTAACAATATCAAACACGTACTTACTTCGCCGGGACAACCATCAACGAATGGTCAGGTTGAAAATTTTATAAAAACTTTAAAGAAATCTTTAATGGCAAACTTCAGCAGCGGCAACGCAGAAAATTTCGATATATATCTGAATAGATTTTTAATGGATTATCGAGTAACAAAACATTGTACTACAAACGAGTCACCAGCTAAGCTCTTTTTAGGTAGATTTATAAAAACTCGATTTGATTTTGTCAAACCACCTAAAATTAAAGAAAATATAATACATAGTCAAGAAAATAGTAAAAAAAATTATCCTGGAAAAAGATCTGTAGAGTTTAGTTCAGGAGATAAAGTATACATCAGAGATTACAAAAATCCTAACAAAGCAAGTTGGTCTCCTGCGACAGTTCAATCTCAAATTGGTCCACGGTCTTATAATTGTATATTTGATCATAACAATCGATTAATTAAAAGACATACTGATCAAATTAAAAGAGCGTCAGAACCGGGCATTGATATTGAGTTGCCGGATGAGGAACCCAGAAGACCTGAAGTAGTTGAATCGGCGGTTGCTGAGGAAAATAACGTATCTTCTGAATCTCTGCATGGAACTGAATGTAATGAGAATGAAAATAATTTGGACAATATGTCAAGTGGTAATGAAAATACTCATGAACCTAGGTCATTACGTCCACGAAACAATGATGTTAGATATAAGTTTTAGAATGTACAAGTTGTGAGCTAATAATGAATTAGTAATCACAAAATCACAATTATAAAAAAAAAAAAAAAAAAAATTTTAATTTGAATTAATAATTGCTATTTGAATTAATAAAACTATGTAAATGTTATTGTACTTCAAAGTATGTTTATATTTAAATATAAAAATAAAGCAATTTTTTTTTTTGAGAGAGGCGTGTTATGTGTTGCCCTATGCAATCGCACCCTTATGTTTATCTATACCTATTAACAATCATATGCCTATACCTATTGACTTATCTTTATATATCTATTGACTTATATTCGTATGGAGTTCATCTCATTAAATAAAGGCAGTTGCTAATTAAGCTTGTAATAAAGAGCACGTCTTTTGCCTTACACCGGTACATAACACTGAACAATCAGTTGTATGGGAGATATATGTTATAGTGACCCGATCTTCGCCATTTTCACTGTAAGTATTCTTTTCATAATGAGTAAAACAGTGCAAAATTTCATGTTCCTAGCTACTTAAATGGAGGAGTTATAACGAAAAATCTTACATCTGAAAAATCAGTTGTATGGGAGCTATAGATTATAGTGACCCGATCTTTGTAATTTTCACTGTAAGTGTTCTGTTGATAATGGGCGAAAGTATTGCAAAATTTCGTGTTCCTAACTGCTTAACTGGAGGAGTTATAGCGAAAAATTTCATATCTGAACAATCAGTTGTATGGGAGCTATATGTTATAGTGGTCCGATTATTCCAGTTCCGACAAATGATTAGTGCATTATAGAAATACACCCACCTACTAAATTTTATCCGGATATCTCGAAAACTGAGAGACTAGATTGCATACAAACAGACGGACAGACTGACATGGCTAAATCGACGAAGCTCGACGTTCTGATCATTTAAGTATACATTTCAATGGGTCTATCTCTTCTAATTGTGGTACTTACAAACATCGGACCAAGAGGCAATAAAAGGTTTGGAAATATAAGTAAATTCATATTATTATCCTTGCCGCACTCACATGCTTTGTTGAGCGCGTTTTTCCGTAATGAATTCAACAAAAACTAAGATTCGAAATAGGATGAGGTTGGAAAGCCTTAATTCAATAGTTCGACATGGCTAAATCGACGCAGCTCGACGTTCTGATCATTTAAGTATACATTTCAATGGGTCTATCTCTTCTAATTGTGGTACTTACAAACATCGGACCAAAGTTGTAATACCATTTCATGCTCATGAAAGGTATAAAAATAGGGGTATACTTTTTTCGATATAGAACAATCCTAGGGGGTGAGAGCATTACAACTCCGGCTTTACTGTTTTTGGACCATCCTAGTGTACATATGCATGCCTTGTAAAACTGTTTTTTAAGTCAAATCTGTGCACATTCGGTTTACACATTAAAAAACTAAGAATAACTGCTATTTTTGATCGAAAAAATTAAAATCATAGTATAACGATTAAAAATGATCGAAAAAATAAAAATCATAATATAACGATTAAAGATGATCGAAAAAATAAAAATCATAAAATAACGATTAAAAATTATCGAAAAAATAAAAATCATAGTATAACGATTAAAAATGATCTAAAAAATAAAAATCATAAAATAACGATTAAAAATGATCGAAAAAATACAAGTCACAACATAACGATTAAAATTTGATTTTTATTATAAAAATCATAATGGTTACGGTCCCTGGTATATTCTGTGATACAAGCATAATCCTATTTGGTCGCCAAATACAGCTCATACCTTTGCGAAAATTCTGTACATCCCCTGCAAAAATTTGAGGACCAGGTGATCCACTGGGTCATAGTTTTAAAGTATGAGCAAAACGACCAGGTTGCATACTAGTAACTTGTTATGCTGACCTGGACCACTTCAAACGTAAAAAACTGATATATGTGTTGAACACCACCTCTTCGTGGCCGATCGTCAATGTGATTCGGTAGCCGAATGTGCCATGGTCCAAAACGAGTAGTTGTCTAGGTGGTCCCATGCTATGCAGTGGTGGACCAGAAGTGGTCCCATGTTATGCAGCATTAGACCAGAGGTAGTCAGGTCCAATGACATCGCAATGTTAATGTGACCATATTTTTTACATATATTTGGACCATTTTGGTTACTAGTGTTGGTTACAAAGTAGTGTGGTCCTGTACTAGTACTTAACTTAGTCCCACTTTTTGCAGGGTCAGATCAAACACGAGCACACAAACGCAAACGAAATGTGTATGAGTGACGTGACTGTGATGTGCCACATACATACACACGTAAACGTATTTAAGCTGAACAGCGATCACTGATTGAACTTGCTAAATACCCAGTAGAGCGAACGTACTTTGTTGTTGTTTTAAGCATGATACAAATATTTAAAGGTAATTTCACTTCTTATCCGCCATTGCTCCCATTTGACGTAAACTGTGCTTTTGACGTTTTCTTTTAAATTGAAGCTGACATATTCTATGAAGAAACTAAAAAGTGTTTTTTACTTCAAAAAAATTATTCCAAAATAATTTAAAGGAATATATTTTGAGCATCATTTTATAGCGAGCTTTTAGTGGTTTATTTCTAAAATTAGTTATAAAACGGAAGGCAAGTAAAATACTCCTATTAATTGCACATCTATTTCTACATGCAATTGTTTTCATCATTATTTAATACGATTAGCTGCATATTTCGGGATGGACACGTGCATGGTAACTTCACCAAGGTGTTGTTTGCTTGTTCCAACCACTTTTCGGCGGAAAATTTTCAGCCTCGGGACGGATGTGCCCAATCTAAGCGAAACGCTGCACCAGCAGCAGTAGAGCGAGTAGTTTATCTGTCTATAACCTATAACAAGGAGCTCTAAGAATTTGTAAATTTTTTTACCTCCCTCTAAGTCTGTGCTTCCATAGTGCTTTCATTGACGATAAGCTACTTTTTAACTATGCCTTTATTCATATGTCCTCTACAAAGGATCCAAATTAAAGCCACATCCTACTATCTATAATAATATCTCATGGAACACTGCATATATTTAATGCCAAATTTTTTTGCGGTAAGGTAATTAAAGGTATTTTAAAGTAATACTCACTTATTAACAGCTATGATAATACGATGAATTAAGTAATTTTACCTTGCGTGTTGTTATTTTTTAATGCATAAAAAATTCCTTTAAAAAATAATAAAATTTCCAAAACAATAATTTTTTATGGTGGCAGTGATACTCGAGCAATTTACGAAAAGTTATGACGATTATACTTTTCGTAAATTGCTCGAGTATCACTGCCACCACAGTGTATGTGCACAGTTTATGTAAAAAAATTTCAAAGTGAAACTACCTTCTTTTTTTGTATCATGGTTTTAATTACATTTATTGATAAACTAGCAAATACCCGGCGTGCTTCGCGACGCCTCGTGAGTAATTTTGCATCAAAGTTAAGGAGAAACCATATTGAAACTCAAATGGGGAAGAATTTTGCCTTTATTAGTATCCATAATTCATCTGGCCGGCCATTGGAACCCTAGTAAATATGTATGTACATTAGGGTGGTCCAAAAACAGTAAAGTCGGAATTGTAATGCTCTCACCCCTAAGGATTGTTCTATGTCGAAAAAAGTATATCCCTATTTTTTATTTTGATATCAAAAAATATTTAGAGGTCGCTCAATGCGCTCAAAGTTTTGCATGTATATTTATATGTGAAAAATAAAATTTTTCGTAGAAATGGTATAGAATT